CAACCCTCTTAGTTCACTGCAAGAGGGTTAGTCACTGACTAGCTCCCTCCCTCCAGCCATTCCCATACATTCCATCCATCCATCCCCAGACAAAACCGCCCTCCCTCCCCCCATCCATCCCCAGACACTCCATCCATCCATCTATCCATCCATCCACAGACACTCCATCCATCCATCCATCCATCCACAGACACTCCTTCTATCCATCCATTCCCAGACACAATCTCCCTCCCTCCCTCCCTCCATCTCTAGACACTCCTTCTTTCCATCCATCCATCCATCTATCCATCCATCCTGACACTCCTTCTATCCATCCATCCATCCATCCCCAGACATTCCTTCCATCCATCTATCCATCCATCCCCAGACATGCCTTCCATCCATCCATCCATTTATCCATCCATCCATCCATCCATCCATCCCCAGACACTCCTTCCTTCCATCCATCCATCCATCCATCCATCCATCCATCCACAGACACAACCTCCCTCCCTCCCTCCATCCCCAGACACTCCATCCATCCATCCATCCATCCATCCATCCATCCCCAGACACTCCTTCCTTCCATCCATCCATCCACAGACACAACCTCCCTCCCTCCATCCATCCCCAGACACTCCATCCATCCATCCATCCATCCCCAGACACTCCTTCTATCCATCTGTGATGAAGCGGAGGATTTTCTTGGCTTCTTGAATGGTTTGCAAGCTGAGGAGGTGGGACTCAGTTTCCCTGGGTGTTACTGGTTTAACAAGGTGGTGGGAGAGGGAGTTTGTTGTTACAGAGGACCTGGAGAATGGCCTGGAGAATGGATACGACAGCGACTGGTGACCTGGTGACCGGACGTCGCAGCCAGTTCTGGCCAGTGGGAGGACAATGGGCTGTGAAGAGAGGATCCCGGTGACCTGACCAGCCGGTTCCAGCCAGAGGAGGCCAGAGGACAGAAGAGGGGAGAGGAGGCCCAGGTGACCCTGTTTGCCTGGATAGAAGACAATGGACAGAGGGGAGACTTGGGGGAGGTGATCTCAGATGCCCAGCTGGGAAGCAGGGGGGCTTGGGACTGGAGAGAGAGAGCAGTCAGAGCCCACCTGGAGGGATGTGCTGTGCTGAGGGAGGCCAGGGCTGTGGGCTCTGAGAGTTTCCTATGTCTTGTTCAGACACTCAGTAAACACTCCTGTTTTATGCTGGCTGAGAGTTGCTCTGGTCTAGAGAACAGGGTTGCATTATTCCCTCTGGGAGTGGGGACCCTGGGAGTCCATAGAGAGTGGACTCCCTGCGGGGGCCCACGACAAGAGACAGGCATGCTAAGGCTCAGAGAGGTGCAGTTTCAGAAAGTGGAGGGGCTTAACCCCCGAGAGAGAGTGGACCCCCAAGAAGGGCTGTCACACTGAAGGGGGTTCCCCCCAGGGACCGTACGGGCCAAGAGTGGACATGACCTGTGACACCATCCATTCATCCATCTGTCCATCCATCCCCAGACACTCCTTCTATCCATCCATCCATCCATCCATCCATCCATCCATCCCCAGACACAACCTCCCTTCCTCCATCCATCCCAACATTCCTTCTATCCAGCCCTAAACAGCCCCTTTATCTCTCTATCCATCCCCATAACCCCACTCTCTCTATCCAACCCCATACACACCTCTCTGTCTATCCCTCCCTCCCCATACACACACCTCTATCCATCCATCCCCACACTCCCAGTCTCTCTAACCCTGTGTGCAGCCCCTCTATCTACCTCTCCATCCCTACACTCCCAGGCTGTCTCTCTAACCCTGTGTGCAGCCCCTCTATCTACCTCTCCGTCCCCACACTCCCAGTCTGTTTCTCTACCCCTGTGTGCAGCCCCTCTATCTACCTCTCCGTCCCCACACTCCCAGTCTGTCTCTCTACGCCTGTGTGCAGCCCCTCTATCTACCTCTCCGTCCCCACACTCCCAGTCTGTCTCTCTAACCCTGTGTACAGCCCCTCTATCTACCTCTCCGTCCCCACACTCCCAGTCTGTCTCTCTACCCCTGTGTGCAGCCCCTCTATCTACCTCTCCATCCCCACACTCCCAGTCTGTCTCTCTAACCCTGTGTGCAGCCCCTCTATCTACCTCTCCGTCCCCACACTCCCAGTTTGTCTCTCTAACCCTGTGTGCAGCCCCTCTATCTACCTCTCCGTCCCCACACTCCCAGTCTGTCTCTCTACCCCTGTGTGCAGCCCCTCTATCTACCTCTCCGTCCCCACACTCCCAGTCTGTCTCTCTAACCCTGTGTACAGCCCCTCTATCTACCTCTCCGTCCCCACACTCCCAGTCTGTCTCTCTACCCCTGTGTGCAGCCCCTCTATCTACCTCTCCGTTCCCGCCCACCCGCCTGTATCTAACCATCTAGTTATCTGGGCTGTCTGGGCCCCTCACAGTTATTAGGGGCATTAGCCTCACGCACCCTGTGCAGAGGGCTGTGCTGCTTTCCCCATTGTACTGGTGGTAATGCAGCCCTGGGTAGATTAAGTGACTTCTCCAGGGTCCTGCAGGGAGCTGGGGGCGGAGCTGGAACTGAACCCGGGTCTCCTGAGTCCCGAGCCAGTGCCCACTTTGTGGCGTCGGGGGCATCCTGGTGGCCCCCGAGCACGTGGCCAGACATGACGTGCCATGGGACGCAGCACAACACTTACCTGGGTTCCCAGCACCACCCGCAGCTCAGACACCCAACCCCAGCTGTGATGGGCCACGGACGCAGCCCACTGGCAGCGTGTGGCTGGTCATGCAGCACAGGGTATGTGCTCTGCAGTGCCCCGTGCTGTGCCCTGCATGTGGCCCTGCCTCATGCCAGTGCTGGCCTCCAGCGTGGCAGGCAGCCAGCTGAGGGCCAGGACATGCCCTGGGATGGTGCCAGCAGAGCCCCCCAGAATGCAGCTATCCCCCACCCTGCACCGGGGCTGCGGCACAAGCTGCCCTCTCCCTCCACCCCAGCTATTTTGGAAGGGACAGTCACACCAGCGCCTTGCAATGACACCAAAGGGCAGGTGTGATGCCTGCAAGACCCTACAAGCCTGGTCCTGCGCCATTCACAACCCAGTCTCTACCTCTCTCGCCTGAGACCAAGGACAGTACCACACTTACCCCTATGCCGAGTGCCCCGTCCATCCTGCCCCCTGCTTCCCAGAGTGCCAGACTTTTCTGCCAGGGCCTTAGTTCCCCTGTATCTCATCAGTTTCCAAAACAGATTGCAAGGCACTTGGGGCAGGGACTTTGGCTTGTCTGTGGCTCTGACCTTGGGCCTGAGTGGACAGCCTGTTATAACCAATGCAGGGCCACGCTCCACAGAACAATAAAGGAGGGCTTTGTCATTATCCCCATTCTACAGATGGGGAAACCAAGGCGGGGCAGTGACTTGCCTCAGGTCACCAGGAGGCCAGAGGCAGAGCTGGGCCTAGCCCCTGTGCTGCTGTCCAAGGGTGAGGGGCAGCACAAGGCTGGACCCCCGCCCCTCTCTGTGTTGTGTTCATAAAGCGCCTAGGAACGTGGGGCCCTGTCTGGAGCTGAGGGTCCCACAGCTACCCGCATTGCGATGATGTATACTGACGGGCCTGGCCCTGCTGAGCCCTGGGGAACATTATGGCAGCCGCCAAGGGGAGCCGAACCGGCCCACATGAGTGGCAGTGGAGAATCCCGCCCAGAACAGCTAATCTTGTAGAAACACCCAGACAAAGGCCAGGAGGAAAACTGAACCATGTCTCTGACTGGAGGCAGCGTGTCCTAGTGGGCAGAGTGCCAGGGTGGGAATTGGAACTGTTGAGTTCTGTACCCAGCTGTGGCCCTGACTGGCTGGGTGACTTTGGGCATGTCCCTTCCCTGCTCTGTGAGCACCGACTTCCCAGCAACTGAGACTCAGTGTAGGTGTATTGAAAACAGTATTAATGTTGTGATGTCTCACTTTAAATTCTCAGGTGTTTTCCTGGTCCTTCTTGCAGGTAGGGGGATCTGTAGGGCAAGGTGAGATCAGAGTCAATCTGCAGAGAGCCAGCTTGCTACAGCAAGGTGGGGTGCATTGCGTTTCACTGCCTTCAGGAGCAGCCTGTTTTGTCTCTCTCTGTTTTCTGGTTCTTGAGTGTGTTTGATTGTAAGCGATAAAGTTGTGTGACCTTGAGAAGATTTCTATTTTATAAAGCTGCTTTCTGGGGTGTGTGCCAGGAACATAACACAGAGGGGATATAGGCAGGGCAAGGAGCATGTGGACAGAGTGGTGAAATGTTATAAGTAATGACACTGTGCCATTTTCTAGATCACCATCTCCACCCACGCAGCCCACACACCCATCATACATGTGCGTGCACACACAGACACATACTCACAGATGTCTCAGGGCAAGTGATGCAGGGTGGAGCAGTTTGATCCTGATTCTTCACCCCCTGATCAGGCAAAGCTGCCAGTTTGGAAAGCAGCCTGCATCACCCGGGTGCTGTCGCTTTCCCGCCATCACTGCCTGGCACCTGAGTACAGCTGGCATGACGGAAGGGCCCAATCCCACACGCACCTGCTCACCCAGGGCTGGTCTTGGCCTTTGCTCCCCGGTCCAGGCCTGCCAGCTGGTTGCACCCTCCTGTGGGCTCTGCTTGGGCCCCACCTGCAGGGACTGGCCCCTGGGGCCAGTGGAAGTGACTCTGGACCTTTGCCGGGAACAGGCCCCTGGGCTTGAGGGAAGGATGGAGCTAACCACTCCAGATCTGCCCAGAGCCCTGCCCCTAAGCCCGGCTCAGTGAGGGGGAGCCCTGGCCCGGGCGAGGGGGGGCAGTGTGAGGGGCTCCCCACTCTCCTCCCTAGTCTACAAACCCCAGCTCCTGTGTCTTTCTTTTTAACTCTTCAAGCCACTCAGCCATGACCCCCCTCCCCCTCCAAAACCCCAGCCAGCCAATCCCGCGCCTCTCCGCTCTGCCGGGCCGCTCTCGGGGGGACCCCGTGGGATAAAACCGGCTGGAAATGACTCTGATTGGAAAAAACTTCCCAAGCAATCAAAAGTCAAACGGAGATTTCTGGTGGTGCGTTCCCCGCCCCTCCCCCCGCCGACTCGGAGACAGGCAGCTCGAGGCGGGTGCTGCAGCCGACCAGGTAACAGCAGTGCCCCCCCCCCCCATCGATGAGTGCTTGGATCTCTGCTCCCCAGGTGCGGGGGGGTCCAGATTTCGGGGTGTGTGTGTGTAAAATCTCTCTTCCAAGTGAAGGGGGCGACCCTTAGTGGAGGGGGGTTGGGGTGTGACCCCCCCATCTCTCAGAACTGGGTGTATTTTCACCCCTAAGCATCCCACAGCTGAAGCTGCCTCGGACACCTGGGTCCTCCTGGCTGCAGAAGGGGGCTGCCTGGGTTCCTGGCCCTTTCCAGCAGCTCATTTTCCCTTCTCCCCCTTCCAGGCCTGCAAGACTTTTCTTGGCGGGGGGGGTTTGAGATCCAAAGGTGACCCCCCACCCCTGCTCCTCTGCAGCGCCCAGCTCCTGCTTGGGAAGAAGAGATCTACCGCCAGGAGCACCTGCCCGCCTTCCTTTGGAGGGGCGATCTCCCCCGCCCCCTAACCGGCCATGCCCCATAACACCATCCGATCAGGTAAGATCTGCCCAGCCTGGGCCTCCTCCGTCCTCCAGCCGTTCCCCGCGCTGGGCTGGATCGGAGCCTGCGCCGCTAACCCACTTCTTGGCGACGGAAAGACCGGGGGCTGCGGGGTGTGAAATGCGGGCTCCACTGGGCAGCGGGGGGAGAAGAGAGGAATCCCGCCCGACATGAGCCCCTGCACCGGTTCCCCTCCCGTCTCCTGCTGACGGGCCATTTCTTCCGCTTTCTAGCCCCGGGCCAGCCGGAGACTGGGCGTCTGCGGGCTCGCGGCGCAGGGGTTTCTCCCCACGTTTGCTTTGCGGGGACACTACTTTGGTCCCTTGTCTTGCTGATTGATCGCGTGCCCCTCGCACTGGGAAATCCGGCAAAAGGGAGAGAGACCCCGGAGAAGAAAAAAATCTCCCCTTCGGGCGGCCAGATTGAAACAGGGACATTTTAAGTTTAAAGTCAAATTGGAATAAAGTTTAAAGTCAAATTTGCCCGTCCTCTGCTCCCTTCTGACTGCTGAGTTTCCATTCACTTCACGTGGGTATGGATTAAACCCAGCGCCCATTTCCAAGCGAACCCCGTTAGCAGAAGGGAGGGCTTCTTTGGCGGGGCCTAGTACAGTTTATTCATGTTTAATTCTTTTTAAAAGGGAGATAATTGGGGGTTGTTTTTTTGTCTTAAAGAAGGAGAAAAAACTCTCCCAGATCTAAATATCCCGCAGTTAATCCCGGGGTAATTATGTGATTAAAATCTCCCCACGAAAATCTGGAAATCAACCCCGCCGGTCGCCCCTAAAGCAGGGAAAACATCCTGCGATGTGTAAGTTTCCCTTGATTTGTGCAGAGCTGCAGGCGGCGGCCCGGGGTGAATATTGACTGGACAGTTCGCTGGGCTTGTTTTAATACCCCAGATGCGGGCGAATACATGGGGCTTGGGGCAGCGGGGATCTGAGTGTGCCGGGAAATAACCACTCCCTCGCTAGGTGTGGGAATAAACACGAGCCACTCGCGGGAAGCAGGGGGCTCTGGGCGGGGGGTGGCAGGGATGGAGAAAAGCCCTTGGCAAACAAAACCAACCCCCGCGTGGGCTGCTAAAAGCCACGCCGGGCTCGGGTGGCCGGGCGCGGGACAAGGCAGGTGGGCGGACAGGGGGACCTGAGCTGTGGAAGGGGCGAGTTTGTAGAACTTTTCCCTTTGCTTCGGCCGGCTCCGCTTCGGGTCCTGCTGGCCCACGGAGGTCACGGTGGGAACGGGATGGCAGCCGAGTGCGCATTCGTATTGCGGTGGCCTGGCTCAGGCTGGGACGGACAGGTGGCGGGGGCAGGGGGTTCGGCTGGACACCTTTTCCGGGGGCGTGGGGCGATTCCAAGAAGATCCACGTGGTTATTTGCCCCACAAGATCCTGTGTTTGTCCGAAGCTACCAGCCTGGGGTGGCGTGCGGGGCTGGGAGGGAGGGAAACGGGGATTTATAGAGAGCGCTTCGCTTGTATTGATCCCGGGGAGACACAATCGATAGTTCCGATTAATTCCGGCCGACTAGGAAGTCTAGCTTCGTAAAGGAAGCTTGAGTTATAATAACACAGGCTCGGAGCGGGGGTACGGAGGCATCTATTTATCTCTCTGTTAAGCCTGCTGTGTAACACACCCCAGTGTTTTAGAGCGTCATTCCGGTTCTTGTGTAAACCCAGCGGTTCCAGGTAACTAGTGTCTGAGCTGCCTGCCCCGAGCACTGTGTTTCTATGGAGCGGGGGCTCTTTGATCCGGATCGGGGCATATTTTGGTTGTGTGGTTTCCGCAGCGAACGGGCTCGGGTCCGCTCTGCCCCATGGCACATCAGACCTGAGCCCGGCTTTGTGTGCTGATCCCAGGTCTCGGCTCGCGTCCCGCTTTTTCGGCCGGCAGCCCCTGGCTGGGGGGATTTTCTGTTCGTTAAAAATAAATGCACCGAACGTGTTTCTTCCCCCTTCACATTAAATCCAACATTTCTCTTCGCTTCCCCTTTCCTTCTCCTGCCTCCCGCCGGCCCTGTGTAAACCGACACAGGCCCGGGGGCTGCAGTGTGTAGCCTGAATTCGGACTCACGAGGCCGAATTGGGTTTAAACAAATCCGAGCGATCCAGGGACTTTGCCACGTAACAAAGAAAACCCGAGAGGAAATCTATTTCTCCCAATCGATGCGAAATCGGTCAGTCAACGCAAAGCGGGCAGCGACGGGCTCTGTTTCCATTGCTACACTCCTTTCCTTGCTGCTTCGAGAGCTTCCTTCTGAAGGGAGAAACCAATCTCTCAGCCGGTCGGCGAAATGCAGCGTCCGCTGGCCTCTCTCCAGCCAGACACGTTTTAAAATAAAGGCGTGAGCCCCCAGTGACCGCCGCGCTGGCCTCGGCCAGCTCCAGACCCAGCCCTTGTGTTTGCTGTCCCCGGGTCCGTTCTCACCCCAGCATTGTCCCGAAGGGAGCGACCGCAAGCATCGGGATTTTACAAGGCGCGGCCTGATTTGTGTGTCCCGTTTTTAAAGAAAAATTGATTCCCGGCGATTCTGCTCCCGGCGTGTCCAGCATAAACACAGACGTGCCGTTGTCTTTGGTTCGGGGGTTTGGCCGCTGTGTTTTCTCTCTCGCTGGCTCCTTCGCTCCCTGGCTAGCGGGATTTTGGTTTGGTTGTTAAGGTTTGATCCTGCCCCCTTCGGCTCCCCGTGCCGGGGAAGTGGGACCTGCTCGGGGCCTGCGACTCCCCGAGCCGGCCGGCTCCGCTGCGTAGCGAACCGACAGGGGGGTGAAAGTCCCAACTAAATAATGGCCATTGTCGCCAAAAGACATTCCCCAGGCAGGCCCGCGGGTTAGCCCTGCCAAAACCAGGGCGCGAGAATATGGTTAAAAAACGGAAAATAAAAGAAATCTCAAATCAAACACAGGGCGCTGCCGCTGGACCCAGGTCATTTCGCGGGGGGGGGGGGGGCGCTGGGGCGGGCAGCAGTGTCCCCCCGGCCCGGCTGTCCAGAGACCGAGGCGGGTTCTGACACCCAGCTCGGGCTTTGCCTTTGTGGACGGTTCGCGTCCTCTCCCCCCACCCCAGCCCCGCAAGAGAAAGTCCTCAATGAAAGTTAATTAGGAGATAATGTAGCCACCTCCCGGATGAGTTTCGAGATAAGAGTCTTTTCAGGCTTCGTCACTTGAATTGTGACCGGGGGGTGGTGGGGGGGGGGGTTGGACACTTTTTCGGAAGTCACATGGGGGACTTTATCCTGGGTTCTCGGGTTACGCGGGGTTTATTATCTTGTCATAAATCTACGGCTACATTCCTGGGGGCGGGGAGGGGGACGGTTAATTCATGTTAAAGGGTCACCCTGCCACACGTCCTTCGGACTTCATTTTTTTAAACGGTGGCCCGGGACAATGGGGCAAAGAGGCTGGCAGTGAGCGCAGAGGGATTTGGGTGGCTGCTGGGAAGCGGGTAAACACGGGTGGGTCCTTCATGTCTGGGCCCAGGGACAGCGGCACGCAGGGAATGGCCTGGGTGCGCAGGGCTGTGATTTCTTACCCCTGGGTGTGTCTGGATCTAGCCATAGCCCCTGCCGGGATAGTGGGTTAGTCAGGGCTCGGCTGTGTAGCTTTATGTCTAGAGGAGACCAGAGGTGCTGACAGGTGCTATACAGACAGGTGTAAGTGTGTTGGGAGTCTCTTGTGTGTCTGTGGGGTGTCTGTGAATTGCCAGCCGCATTGTGTACTCCTGTGTTTGTGTCTGTGTTCACTTTAGATCGAGCTGTGAAGCTAGGGTGACCGGATGTCCTGATTGTCCCAATATCTGGGGCGTTGTCTTATAGAGGTGCCTATTTCCCCCATCCCGATTTTTCACACTTGCTGTCTGGTCACCCTGTGTGTGGCAAGCTGCGGTCTAGCAGTGGGTGTGTACCGCACACTACCACAAAGGCCTACATCTGAGCAGGAATAAGGAAGGACACCCAGATAGAGTGATCACTTTAGATAAGCTATTGCCAGCAGGAGAGTGGGGTGGGGGGAGGTATTGTTTCATGCTTTGTGTGTATAAAAAGATCTGCTGCAGTTTCCACAGTCTGCATCGGATGAAGTGAGCTGTAACTCACGAAAGCTCATGCTCAGATAAATTGATTAGTCTCTAAGGTGCCACAAGTCCTCCTGTTCTTTTTGCAGATAGATCATGTAGCCAGAAACCGTAGATTGCAGAACGCCCCCCGCTCTATAAATCCGCCCAGCCGGCCCCATCCCCGGTGTCAGTCTCACACACACGTACAGCGCTGCACGACTGTCGTGGGGATCCGTCCCAAGCGACTCCATTAAAAGACAAGAGAGGCCTTGTCTGCTGGACCAGCCTGGCCAGCAGAGCTGCACCAGCCTGGCCATAGCAGCAAATCCCCCCCCCCAGGGCTGGGATCCCCAAGGCAAACAAGCGCAACCAGGACAACCAGCTGAGGCTGCTGCTGGCAGGGCTCTGAGGCAGGGGTGCTGGAACTAGGGGTGCGGGGGGGAGGGGGACTGCCGCACAGCCTGGCTGGAAGTGGTTTCCATCATACACAGGGTTTACTTTGGTTCAGTGGCTCTCAGCCCCCACCGTACAAATTGCTCCAGTGCCCTGGGGGCACTCGGCCCCCCTCCCCAGAGCCAGGCCGGCAAAACTTGGTCGTGTCGCTCGGCCTGTAGACGCTGTTTCTGCAGTGACTCGGGCCCCAGGAGCCTGGATCCGTGAGGCGGGGGCATCTGGCCAGTGATCTCAGGGCCGGAGTCCAAGTGGGTTTCATGTTCGAGGCTCTATAGAACGTTTTACTCTGTCCCAAAGCAGGAGCAGTTCAGCCCAGGAGCTGATGGGCTGGCGGGGGTGGGGGGGATTGTAGCACTCGCCTGTACTCAGAGAGATCCCCAGTCACCTGGCCCTGCTCAGCTCCGGAGGGGAGGGGCAGGAGAGCAGATGTCCCCGTATTAGGGGCTTTGTCTTATACACACAACTCTACCCGACCCCCACCTCAAAAAAGT